GGAACCAGAAAAATTATTGTATGCCAAATCAATTATTGAAACATGAGGCAGGCCAAAGAGATCCCTAGGAATTGAGCCCTGCAAGTGGTTATTGCTCACTCTGAACCTCAAAAGAGTCAAGCATTTTGCATAAATGTCTGGTAGCTCTCCAGAAAACCAATTATCCAGGACAAGAAAATAGAGCAGTTTACCTCCCTTGCAAACCTCTGTTGGCAATGGACCGGATAGTTGGTTTTCAGACATGTCTAAAACGACCAATTCTGAGAACTGACCCAGATTTCTTGGGACGTGACCACTCAGGAAATTATCATAAATAGACAGTATACTCAAGGACGTTGAGTTTTCTATCACGGCCGGGATTTCTCCTGTGAGGCTATTGTTGTAAAGCTGCATGACTTCAAGCTTGGGAAGGCGACATATAGATTCTGGGATTTTCCCGGTCAACTTATTGACTGACAAATCAAAGTCTCTGAGCTCCATGAGATTTCCTAGCTCCTCAGGTATAACACCAACAAGACTGTTATAGTACAGCTCGAGATATTGCAGATTTTTCAGCATCCCAAGCTCTGGAGGAATATGACCAGTGAGGAAGTTTCCACTCAACTCAAGATCAACAAGAGACGTAAGGTTCCCTAAGGATGCCGGAATTTGGCCCTGCAACATGCATGTTGTGAGCACCATAGACTTGAGATTTTTGAGTTTGTGAACATCCTTCGGAAGCGTCCATAAGTTGAAGCCTTCATTTTCGTTGAAGTTAAGGACCTCAAGACTGGAGAGGTTGAACAAGGACATGGGAAACCGACCCGTGAAAAGGTTATATGACAAATCAAGAATCTTGAGAGACGTCAGAGGTGAGAAGTCAGGAAGCTTTCCAGCATGAGACATGTAACTCATGTTAAGCTCTTCCAAGTGGGAACAGTTGACAATGGTGTCGGGAAAGTTTCCCTTGAGGCGGTTACTGCTGAGACGAAGAACACGTAACTCCGGCAAGTAAGAGCATATATTCTCAGGGAACTCGCCCGAGAGCGACCAACCGGAGACGTCAAGACTGACGACGTTTCCTTGATTGTTGCAGGCAACCCCAGTGAAGGTGCACACAGCTTTTCCTCCGGTGACATCCCAACTGGATGGGTACTTACCGGAGAAAGAGTCCTTCATGAGAACAAAAAAGTGAGACTGATTGGTACTAACACTAAAGACCAGTGGAATACAAGACATGGAAACAAGAATAAGAAAGAAAACGGTTTTACGATCCATTTTGAGAGAAGAAGGAAAGCTGAACAGAAGAGCGGGTATAGCCTGTTCAAGATTATAATGTTGCACGGAAGGAGACGAGTGAGAGGTGTATATAAGATGAATTCAGCAGTACGTGACAAGGTGGAGGTAAGTGGATCACTACCGGGTGAAGCAGTAAAGAGATAGCTCTTAGTAGTGATGGAAAAGCAGGTTCTTGATGGGTATATACATAAGAGCCAAACATATATATCGTAATAAAGAGGCTTATACGATTATACTCCACTAGCTCATGAATAATTCATCGACTTTATACTCCTATATACGGGTTGCAGAATAAACTGCATCTGATCCGGGACACCGCATTATTCACTGACCACGACTTCTTCCTCATCCATTTGCTTTTTTTTTTTTTTTTAATTCCCTCTTCAACCTTGCCGTGGATTCCTTTCAGTCAAAACCTATAATACTAATTATGCGATTTCTACGATGGGTACAGAACCGAACAAATACCGTTCCAGTGATCTTACTTGAACCGAGTTTCTGGATAGTTAATTTGTTCGTTTCTTTAGCAAAGGTTAAAATCAGTGGATCGACGCACCTGAAATGGGTGCCTGTGCATGTTTGTTTGCAAATATTTAACACTTGAAACGTCTCATTCAACTATTTGAGGTTACTTTAACCACAAGGAGTTTAACTAACAGACTCCTCAACTAGGTTTGTTCAAACCTGAAAACGCTAGTGAGAGATCACGTGTAAAGTCAAAATATTTAGTCAGTGATTTAGTAGGGAAATTTTGATCAGGTGAGTCAAAAGAGTCTATCCTTCATTATTGCCGAAGCGCACTTCAGTCATTTCTAAACTAATCTCCCACCAAGATTCATTATAATAAGCGAACGAGTAACTTTCTTTTTGCTTTTAGAAATCGCCTGGTTACTGTGTGCATTTTTTTGAAAAAAATGAAATAACTCTTAGTGCTTTTAGAAAAATGAAATCTTCCAAAGAATAAATGTTAGTTGTACTACTTTTATCGATCACTGCCTTCACAACTTTTGCAACTCAATTAAAGTGGCCGTACTTTCAAAATTAATGTTGAACAGCTAGGTGAATTCATATATATAATGACGTTATGACAAAAATTCTTGAATACAATATGATAATCGTATTATTAATTTGTTAGTTTATGATGGCTCGTGTACCTGCTGATAATTTAACCCGTGAGTAAGCATCGTTTCCTTCGGTTGCAGGCTCTTTTATACTCGTTAGCAGATGATGATGACACCAATAATAAGCGGAGTCCGAATATATATCATGTTTGCACAAAACAAACATATAGTTTAACATAAATAAAGCTGGCTAGATCGTCGGAGAAAAGGACGTAACAGGACATATATACTCATAAAGTTTAGTGTTTTCTTGTGAATTTAGTTACGTCTCAATGATGTTCTGCTTGCCATTATTCCCTACTTGCCTCTCTCCCATTAACTAAAAAGAAAAAGAAAACCAGTTCTGGTGTTAAGGAAAAATAAAAAGGAAGAAGATGAGGATTTTTTATTAGGTAGACTTTACTGTAGATTCCACTTGCTTTTGCTTTTTTTCTTGCCCAAAATACAAATTCAACTGGATGTCAGCGATGAAACTAGCTAAAATTCGATATGGGTCACAGGTAATTCGGAATTATGAAGAAATGAGAATATATACATATAGAACTGTTTGACATATTAAATCAAAAGGGGCGGCTTAGGTGAGGTTGAACCCCCATAGGCTAACATGAATATATAATATAGATAGCCCAATCCCACATCAATCATCAATACGAATCTCTAATATCGCACGTCTATATGTGGAACGCGTCTAAGCAAAATTCCTTCCCCCCCCCCCCCGGGGGTAATATTGCTTTCGTTGTTTATTTCTGTTTTTTTCAAATTAACTTCACAATGCGGAAGAAAATATATATGTATTTAACGTTGTTGGAATTCAGCAGGGGAGAATCATTTTCATTAGTTCATGGTAATTGCATGGTTACTACAGATTATATCTTCTTAAACATGTCGGGGAAAAGGGTTTTTGTTTTTGTTTCATGCGAAGGAGTGAAAGTGGATATGAACGATGACAACATTAACAAATGAAGTCCTCTTTTCCGCTAAACCTTTTGAGGTTTATGTTCGATATTTTCCCACTCCAGAAGTTTAGGGCTGTGCTCCAAAGTTTGAGAAAAAGGGTACTTTTGTTGGTTAACCAAAAGATTAAAAAAGGTCAGAAATAATCATGTTGATTCACGTGGTATCGATCTAAATTGGAAACTTAGCCAAAATATTGGCGCAAAAGAACTGTGTTCTGGCTGAGTAGTTTTCACTAATAGGAGAATTAAGGAATCCTTATCGAAACACGAAGACCCATCGGTTACTAACTACTGTAATTAACTCTGTTTTCCGTGCATGCAATGAGGATTCATGGAGAACGAAATTAAAATATTAACAGGAATTATGATAAATTTGAGAGAAATTAGCAAAGCAGGATATGAGAAATGAATCGGACAGGTTGGACACTATGTGAAAGCCCAAAAAAAAGGGGAATCAAGCTGTGATGAGTGCTCAACGATGGAAGCGCAAAGCAAAGATGCGCACTCACTACTTTCCTTTTCGAAAGTTACATACAAAAAGGTGTCCATATACTACTATATTTTATCTCCACAAAGTTCAGATATGCCATTATACCTTTTTCTGATTCTCTTTTTTCCTACCGTGCCCCCACAAAGTCCTTCGCACTTGTCAACTGGTTAGTAGAAACCCAAAATTCCTTTTCCTTTTCCTTTTTCTCAACAACTCCTGTCGTATGCTCATTGTGCTTCTGCTCCTCATCAATCTACTAAGTTTAGATAATCACAATGCCCGTCTTTGTCCATTGAACAAGATTCAATTGAACTTGAAAAGCAGATTTTTTTTGGGTACAAGTGTGGGCCTAGCCCGAAAGAAAAAATCACCTCATCGGGGGATTGAATCCCAAGTTATGTAGGCTTCAAAGTTAATCAAGGATAATATTTGTGGAGGCTGGCTAGGCCCAAATTATGTAGGATTCCCTTCTTGCCCAATTAGCCCATAACATGACGAACACCACAGCCCAATTGAAACTCCAGGGTAGCATTTGGCGGTTCGTCGTCGTGATGGACCCATCACAATAAATAAATGCCAGAGTTCTGCTGTTACTTCCCATTGTTTTCTATGCTGGTGCAACCCCTCCAGACTTCGGAGTCGCTTTCAGTAATTTCTTTTACTCACTTCGTAGAAAAAATTCGCAGTCAACTTTGCTCCGACAATGAGTTCGGTCAAAATTTTAATTGTTGTCGGCTTTTACAGTACCATACTGTACCATACTGCCCCTTTGAACCACACAGGATACAATGGACAGAACCAGCTCAAAGTTGAGACTAAACAGGGTTTTGTATTTTATACTTCTGAAGCCTCAGGGAGAAAAATGCTACGGCATTGAATAGTAAAAGATAGACTCATAATTTACAATCAAATAAGGGGAATACTATTGGAGATTTGACGAAACATTTACTTCACACTCTTGGAGAACCATCTTCGTCCTTGCCCAGTCACAAGTCATCTTATTACTGTCACGATTGGATAAGGGTCTGCTATACTGAGAGGCGAAAGCTGAGTTTGTTATATACCCATTAAACGCGATTATGCCACCCCAATTAAAATCTGATTTTGTAATGTAACAAGTCTCTTAAGAGTTAACCCCGAAGAGAAGAATCAAAGAAGTGGATACCGAGTTAATTCCTTTATTGAAAACTGCTTCTTCTTATTCTAAGTTTAGCATGCATGATGCAGAATCAGTGGCTAAATAATTCACAAGAGTTCCCTCCTACTCCTCCCTGAAAAATTTACATTTTGTACTGCTGACAAGTAGGGAGGCGGTTTCTCCGATCCAACGATCCAAAACTGAAGTCTCTCAAGTGCTTGGCTTGAGCTTAAGCGTTTGAGTGTCCTGCATTTTCTTCTCAGAGCTGTCTTTGCTAATGACGATTCCGACCAATTTACAAGGCTCAGCATCCTCCAGCATTTGAACCACACTTCTCATGGTAGGCCTCAAAGCTGGAAGCCTTGCGGTGCACAGAATCGCTATTCTCAACATCTTCACAGCCTCGTCTTTATGCATATCTTGTATTCTAGAGTCCACCAAACCTATTATGCTCTCATGACTCTGCATCTTGCTGCACACCCAGCTCACTATGTCTTTGTTTTCCCCATATTCTGCTTCAATTGGCTTTTTCCCCGTTATTAGCTCCATCAATACTACTCCAAAGCTGTACACGTCACTTTTCTCGTTCACTTTATATGTGTACCCATATTCTGCACCGGACATTAAACATCACGTTGAGAAACGGAAACGTAATATTAAGATCAAATGAAAATGATGGATTTTAACTTACCGGGAGCGATATACCCATGTGTTCCTGCAATGACTTGCGTAGAATCCTGGCCAACACTGGGCTGAACAATCTTGGCAAGTCCAAAATCAGCAATCCTGGGCTTCATTAACTCATCCAACAAAATGTTACTAGATTTGACGTCCCTGTGAATTACTGGCCTCTCACACCCATGATGCAAGTACTCCAATCCCTTGGCAGCTCCGACTGCGATTTCATGTCTTTTTTCCCAGTCCAGTTCCATCTTCCCGCTTGAGTGAAGCCGATCCCATAAGCTTCCATTTGGGAGATACTCATAAACCAGCAAGCTGGAATCCTCGCTTGTAATGCTGCAGTAAAGCTTCACGACGTTCACATGTCTTATGGAGCTCAGTGTCTGCACCTCTGCATCGAATTCCTTGGACTTGGACTTCCCGTCATGCTTTCCCATCATCGGAGTACTACTGCGGCTTTTCTTCCGGCCGGCGGAATCCATATTCCATATGTGCTTAACGGCGAGTTCTTTACCGTTTGAGAGTAGGACTCTGTACACGTTTCCTGATCCCCCTTTCCCTATTAGATTCTCTTGCTTAATGGAATCTAGAATCTCGTCCTCAGTGAAACTCAGCACGTGGAAGGATTTCAGGTCCCAGGATTCTTCTTTCAAAGAGCGTTCTCGATATTTCTCCCTCTTATTCAGCTTCATGTAAAGAGCCAAACAAGCGAGAAGCAGGACCAGAGCTATTGTAAAGCAAATGATGAGGGTGCGGACGTTGCTGGGTATGCCTGGATGAGCAGAGCAAGGCCTGAAAGAGTTGATCGCGTCTAGAGTGCAGAGACCTGGATTTCCATCAAGACTACCATTGAAAGCTTGAATGGATAGAGATTGTGGGATTGGACCTGTTAACCGGTTGCTCGATAGATCAAAAAGGCTCAACCGGAGGAGTGTGAAACTAGCCGGAATCTCACCGGAGAGTTCGTTTCGGGACAAATTCAATGCATTAAGAGCTGGTAATTTACCCAAAGATGAAGGAATATTTCCAGAGAGTGAATTCTTTGCCAGTTCGATATCACTAAGGGAAGTACATGACCCCAAAGAGTCGGGTATAGACCCAGATAACCTGTTGCTCTGTAAATGAAGACTGCTCAAACTTTTCAGCTGCCCAATACGCGATGGAATTTCCCCGGAAATTTGATTCTCACTCAGATCAATTGTCACCAAGGACGTTGCTTCTGAAATTTCTTTCGGTATCTCACCGGACAAGCGGTTCCTCCTAGCATGTATGGTGGCTAGGGCCTTCGCGTTCTTGATATCTGACGTAATTGAACCTTCCAACTGATTCAGTTCAACATCGATTATCTCCGCTTTGGGCAATCCCCATATTCCAGAAGGAACCGTCCCCGAAAGCAAGTTATCGTTGACTCTGAACCGAATTATTGTCGTGCAGTTCGCATAGGTAGCCGGTATTTCACCGGAGAGCTTGTTCTGAAGTACGAGTAGTTTCTGCATCTTTCCCTTGCTGCACATATCAGGCGGAATAGGACCCGTCAACATGTTCTCCGACACGTCGATGAAGTTAAACTCTGCCCAAGAGCCAAGTTTCTGAGGAATGGGCCCCGATAAATTATTAGTGTACAACGATAGATTCACGAGTTTTCTGAATTCACCGAATTCAGGGGGAATTTCGCCTGTTAACTTGTTTTCAAATAGCTGCAGGCTAGCCAGATTCGTCAAGAACCTCAACTCGGAAAGATCGCCTTCAAGCTGATTCATGGACCCGTCCAGTTTCGCAAGGCTTGTGAGATTTCTGAATCCGATTGGGAATTTTCCGGTTATTGAGTTGTTGTAGAACTCAAACTGCAATAGCTTCCGAAGATTCCCAATCTCCGAGGGAATCTCGCCGGATATAAAATTGTCCGAAAACTCTAAATTTACAAGCTCAGCGAGATTACCTATTCCCACTGGTATTTCCCCTTCGAGGCTGCAGTTCGTTAGATATAGCCACTGGAGGCTTTTCAGATTGACCACCTCAGATGGAAAAGTTGTACGGTGAAAAGGGTTATCTCCAACGCTTAACTGCACGAGACGCGTCATGTTTAGCAGAGACTTCCATGGGAAAGTTCCAGAAAATCCGCTTTGGTTCAAAAACAGAGATCGCAACTGGCTGAGAGGAGATATATCGGGAAACGGGCCAGAGAAATCGTTGCTTCCCAAGTCTAAGTATACTAAGTTGACACAGTTTCTCAAATCCTCTGCAACTTTGCCATGCAAAGAGTTGGACCCGAACGCGAGCTTCTGAAGAGACGAGAGCTTGCAAATGGAGTCGAGAGGCAGAACCCCAGATAGCTTCTGAGACGAAAGATCGATTTCCGTTACGGAACCGTCGGAGTTGCAGGCAATCCCGTGGAAATTGCGGAGGGGGTTGGTGGAATTCCAGGAGTCAAAGACAGGGGAGTTTGACTCACGCTGGAGTACGGATTTCAAGTTGAGAAGGAGTTGACGGTCGTCGGACTGAACACCGGAGAGGAAGGAGAGGAGACAGAAGAGACAGCAAAGAGAGAGGAACATGTTGGATGAGGGAGTACGCAAGGGAGGAGACATTGTTGGTGAGGGTGTGAAATGAAGAAACTTGACGCAAAAGAAGAAGTGGCGCCTCAGCCAACAGTGAAATAACCCCGGAAATTTGTATTATCGTTACAACGGTCGGTCCCTTTCTTTTTCCCACATGAAAGCACTGGGGGAGAGTTAATGCTGCTTTTCCTAAAGCATTCTCACTCACAAGATTATGAGCTTTGCGAAATTGGCATCACTCAGTTGCTGTGCTGTTCCAATGAGCCAGCTTCCTTGCTTGGTTAAAAAACAGCCACCAGGCAAAAACTGCGAGTATTTTAGGATTTGCTTGAAGTTGAGACAATGATTACCTCAAGACTGACAAGGAGAAGACGACAGGGGAAAAGTTTTAACCGTGACTTAGAAGTTGCTTCGTTGTTGTCTGCGAGAAACGTCACTGACTCAAATTCATGTTGAGTTAGACCTACTTGTGGCGATGTTAATGCCATCAAGACGCATGTTTTATCTTGAAGTGGTAAAGATTTGATCAAATCGGAGTCAAGGATGACCATGTCAACCTCGGGCAAGTTTTGCTTCTCATATTTTTGACCTCCCTCCCTTGGCAGGTATTTTGTTTATTTAAAGAATTAATTTGTTTAAATCATGGTAGTATTGAATTTAATCAAGGTTGTTCAAACTAGTAAACCTATAAACCCCACTCCTAACCAATTTGGTTCGAAGTTTTGAAAGGGTTGAATTTTTTTTTCTTTCTATTAAATTTGAAATCATATTATTTTGAGATAGAAAAATAAAACAGCCAATTAGATTTATACTTTAGTAATTCTATTTTATTGAATTATGTGCATTTTGTACATAATTTTTTTTACCCGTGAATTGAGTGTTTTTTGCAATACTATTTTTTCATAATTACATATAAATGTTTTCTATATTTTAATTAAATTATAGTATACGGTTATAATCGACCTAATTTAAACCCAAATTGATGATGGGTCCGGCTTTCTTGAAATGATTAGTATTGACAATTAGGGAGCGCGAGGTGGGGAGTGGGGGAGGAGGGAGGGGATACTGGGGAAGAAGCGGTGTGAAACACGGAAGAGAAGAGCCGCCCAGGTTGACCAGGGAGATCCGGCGCGAGGGCAAAGTAAAAACGACAAGACACCACGTGGGAAATCCTCCCAATCTGACAAACACCTGACGGCGACCCCCTCTAATGCCTGCCCAACCAATTACTTTAATTGAGAAGCATTATCGTTAGTTGCTGTTCCATGCTACTGCCTCCTATTTTTAATATAAAATATTATTTAATTTTTATTTTAATATTAAATATTTCAACCTATTTTATCTTTTATATTTATATATATACTTTTACAAAATAGTCATGGCCAATAAATTTAATTAGCAAGAATATTTAAAAAAGATAATACCTATTTATTATAAATAACTAATTTAAATTATTTTTTAATTTTTTTAAATTAATTAACTAACTTTATAATTATATAGGAAGTAATATTTTGATCTATGAATGTTATTAAAAAATGATCACAAAAAATATCGTTGCTTAGATCTGCGATGCAGCATTCTGTACGCACATATATATGTGTGTGTGTGTGAGAAGCGGGGGGGGGGAAAAAAAAGTAGTCGTCCAAATAAAAGGTATGGATTAACCTGGTCACTTTCTCCAGTCATCAAAACCCCCCGTGTGTGTGTGTGTCCAGGAATGTGAGCGATGAAAGGAGCCGGACGCATAAAATTGTAAAGAATAGTATGCATATTAAATTTGTCCTTTTTTTTTATAATTAAAACAGCTTAATCCAATTTGATAAAACTTACTGTACTATATATAAAGTATAGGCTCACTCGTTCATCAATTAAGATGGGATTTAAAATATATTGTAATAACATCCAATACAAAGCTTCTGGATCTCATAACTCAACTAATACTAAATAACCTTCATAAGAGTTTTTTAAATACAAAATGATGAGTTCGAATGGTTAATAAGAAGTATGATGAGCACAAATATAATGGGCACGCGAGGTATGGTAAAAATCATACTGCCTCGATCCTTAATATAAGATTCTGTTTGATTTTTGTTTTGGTCCTAAATATAAGACTTCAATCCACTTTGTCTCTTATATTTATATATTTTTTTCAAAATAACCCTTCTAACAATGATAATTCTAGTCATTACATTTGATTAGCAAGGATATTTTAGGAAAGACAACACCTATTTAGGACAAATAACCAACTCAACTTACTTCTTTAATCTTCTCAAATTAATTAACTGGTTTTTATAATTAAGACAGGAGGTAGGTAGTATCTAACACGGTTCATTATGTCAAGATCCGTATCCTATGATTTCCCCGAAACGCGCTCTCTCGAAAACATTACTACTGGCGGCGACAATGAGATGATCCTGCACAGTGTGCATTGTTTATGCATGGCCATGCGAGCGCGAGCAAAACAACAGGAGATCTTAAATAGTTGTACCTTCGTTTGACAATTTGCATATTCCAGGCCAGTTGGCAACAACAAATCCATCCTACCCATATGAACACCGATTCACTCATTTTTGAAAGGATCTATGATGTTGTCTTGCGGGTTCCATCTCAACATTATATTAATTAATCAAATTAACCGTGATTAAAAATAAGGTATTATTATTTTAACAGCCACGCTATCCATACTATTTTTACAATTAACAAACACCTCTTCTCTCTTTTTAAAAAAAAAATGCAGATCTGTTATTCTCTCACTTGTCTTTTTTTTTTTTGAAAAAAAAAGAAAATATGCGGTCAAATTTGCGTCGGTGACCCAAAGTCTCAATTGATGCGAGATGCGAGCGCGACAATGAACCGCACGAGTTATGATCATTGGCTAGAGGCCACCGATCGGGAAAGAAATTAAAAAATCATTAGCTATATTATTAAAATACAAATACAAATATAGCCAAAAGGAATCAACACAATCCAATTTCTTCCGTGAAACGACTCCGGAAAAAAACAAAAAAAACAAAATCGAGTAGAAGACGGAAGCATTGAAATTGATATTGGGCACAGTGCCACGTATTGATTGAATCGGATTCATTTGGAGTCGTGAAGGACAAATTACAAAATGGGTGGGGGGCATTCTTTACCTTCACATACTTTATATTCGGCCTCACTGGGCCACTTCATAATATGAGTATTTTAGCTTCTAATATTTATCTCTGTACTCCCCTCGACATTTTAAAAACAAAAAAAAAATCGCAAACTGACAATCTTATCTTGTTCATGTTTCATGTGGGGGAAAAGGGAAGGCACGTAAATTTGAGTGTGTGAGGCCAAATAATTGAGCATGCACGATCTATAAAGTGAGAAACAAAAGAGAGAAAAAGATGATCAAAGGCCAAGGGAAAGAAAAAAGCATTGGGTCGTTGTGGAGAAAGGATTAGGAAGAGATAAGTGGAATGAGATCATCAGCTCAAATCATACCACCCTTTTATCTCACAAATAAAACAACAACTTTATATTGTGTATTTTTGTACCTTTTTCACCAATCAATCGTATAATCATTCAACTTTGAAAAGTGCTTTTTTATGTCAATTTTACTTTTAATTGTTAAAATACAATGGAGGTTGTTCACAACCGAGAAAAAAAAAAGGCACAGAAAATTTTAATTTATTTCGAGAAAAATAATTGGATTTTGTTTTCCTTTGATAGCCAAAGAAGAAGAAAGATGCTCAAAATTCCAAGCCTCCAGGTGTAAATTCAGAGCAGCAATCCATTTTCTGAAACAAATTAGCCCAGCAGAAACTCACGGATGATATATATATATATATATATATATGTATGTATGTATACCTTATAAGATAAATAAATGATACTTTAGAAGTAATATTATATTGCTGTAAAGGATAATGGGCGTAAAAAGAAAGAAGGAAAGGAAAGGCGAGGGACAGATAATCACATGCCAGAGGGGAAGACAAAAGCAAGCGATGGATATTACAAATATATAAACACACACATATTATACAGGGGTTGTTTTCTTTGTTCCAACTATTATTATTATATTAGACTTTATGTGACTTGCTATAATTGAGGCGTTTGAATGAGGATGGAATTTTTGGACATGTTCTAGATGGTCTGCAATTTTAGTCAAACGTCCCACCCCCTCCCTCCTCCCAAACCACCCTGGCCATGCCCATTGCTTTCAGAGTTAGTATCATACAAATTACGATGAGACAAGCATCTCCGTTCGTCGCAAGTGCCAACCTGTTATTAATTTTTTTAAGGGAAAAAAATTGATGATGATAACGATAATGACCTTTTTTCTTAAAAAAATGGTAAAAATTAATCAATGGAACCTTCTCCGCTGGGAGTTGCTAGTTATTTTTACCAAAAAAGATTCACCAGCAAGGGCGGCATGCAAATGGTAAATCTCAAGTGGTAGAAGTTGGGTCAAAAATTAAAGGAGCAGAATCCAGAGGATCTGACGTGGGAAGCTTGTGTCGTTTGAGACGCGAACAGGGTCAAAATATCTCTTGCCAGACTAGAACGTGCAAACCACGTATGCATGGCTTTTCATTAGGATCCTCTTCCGGAACCAGTCTCGGATGTTTATCTCTTTGATGGGTACCTTAGACTTATCAGATTGTAATCATTCATATCTCATTTATATAATTCAGATTTAATATCTTTTTTATTTTTATTTAGCCAAAATAATTATTTTAATATATATAGAATCTAAAACAGAAATAATCTCTTAAATGTTATTCTTTCAAAAAATAGTTTTTTTATTCAAAAATAAATAACTAAAGATTTTAAATCTGAATCGTTCAAATCAAATATAGATGGTCCAGATCTGATAAGTTTAAAATGCTCGTTAAAATGATAGTTATTAAAACCAGTTCCCTTCTAACATTATTATCTTCAGTAGTATTAGTCTTACCATTAACAGAGATATGCTCCTAATCAACTTTAATTTTCGTTATATCTTATGCTATTGATTGTCTCAGTATTTCTTTTTGAAATTTTATTTGACAAACTAAAGAAGTTCCAATCAAAACAACAAAAACGAAAGGGAAGAGGAGACAATGAGATGCTGGAAATAGTGGATGCTGTGTCACACGGCATTACGAAGATAAGAGCGCTGGCCATGTTAGGGTTCTATTAGGCTCGTCCCGTCCCGGCTAACATATAAAGCAACCTGCATGTATTTACGGGATACGCGTCTTCTCTATTAGCAGGCGGCCGGGCTATCAAAAGAATTAAGGATATTCACTGTAACATTTAATGTTTAATAATGCCCAACTCAAATACTCTGTTAAATATGGTACTTTAGAATTTACTTACTTTGTTGAATTGGAACATTATACCCCAAATCTTTTTTTAAATAAATTACAAAATAGTTGCAAACATCATTGAAATTCTAATTTAATCATTTTCAAAATTTGGAGAACTTCAAAGTGACAGATTTTATGAATCTAATGGGCTGCGCATGCGTGGGTGTGTGACATATGTCTGTTATATATTTCTCTTGGGTAATATGCTTCTATAATTGTCTAATATAAGGTTGGATGAGCATGCCCCGGTTGAGGTTACGGAGAGAAAGCGGGGGTTGGGATATGCAGGCGGGCACCGCCAGGACCCATTTCAGGAGAGCTGTCCCTATTTTTTTTTTCCAGGTTTCTTTTGACTTCTTTATTTTATTGTCATTTATAATTATCCTCTCTATATGTTTTTTAATTCATTTTTTTAAAACAGATATTGTCTGTTAAAAGGCCTTTTCGTGAGCAAACTGCAAATCCATTGGTGTTATCGTGAGAGTGTTTGAGTTAAAACCAAATTATTACTTTAAAAGTAATTTTATAATTATACAAAATAAGTATGTAAGAGTAGTTTTATTTTGATTTACGAAAAAATATTTTTAAAAAATATTTTTGTCATATAACAAACACTCCCTAAATCAAGTTGCTCCTCATCCCGATTAAGTGAAACAACACAATAAAATCTGTGACTATTCTTCTTTTATCCTTCTCTTGAAGATAATTTTATTTGAGACCTTATTAGATGTTAAATGTGAATAAAATTTTTAATAGCAATTTAAATCCTAATTTTTCACATCGAGAAGGATTAACTCATCTGCGACTCTTCCACTTCTTGTTGGGTGTTTTTTACTTTTTTACCACACGAAACCATAAACAAGTAACCCAAACATGGTGCAGTAACCGACAGGACCGAGCGACCCAAAAAATGAGATTGTCAGGCCCAATTTTACTGCTGACTGGGCAACTAAGTCCCTTTCTTCGGGCCAGCGGTTATTGGGTATGTTTGGACGACGTACTCAACTGAGACAAGCCCCTTGGTGTCAAATGAAAAAAAAAGGAGGAAGAAGAAGACGGCCCAATTTTATACCAGTACTGCACTGCTCCTGGGCCTACTCAGCCACGACGTCTCATATATTTGGCCCACTCTTCTTTACTTAAAAAAAAGGAAATAAAAAAAGAGGAAAGTGGGTGGGGTTTCCATTTTTCTTACACCCGAAGAATTTAGGCAGGGGCAATGGGTTAGCCTTTGCTCGAGCGGGAGAGACTGGCTCTAGCCTCGAGGCAGCCGACGGTTTGATTTGATCTGTGGGTATAAACTAAAAGCAGTTGAGTGCCGATAACGTTGCCTTGATTTTCTGCACTTCCCAAAATTGAAGAGTTGTCGTCCGCGTCGCCGCTTCTGTTTCGAACCAAGAATTTATACTATTACATGTGTAATCAAGAGATTAGATAAAAAGGGTTCTCTAATTTTGGAAATAGAGACAACTGTTACAATAAGGTCGTCATTAACATTATCCTTCTCTCTCTCTCTTTTTGGGGGGGGGGTTGTGGGCATGATAAATTGATAGTAGTTCTTTTTTTTTTCCCTCGCTGAAATAACCGAACCAGGTCTTAGATATATGGAGTATTTGGGTGGAAACAAAATTATTGTTTTAAAAATATTTTTACAGTATACAAAATAAATTATAAAAAATTTATTTTGATTTGTGAAAAATATTTTATCAAAGCATTTTTTTAGTAATCCCAACACTCTCATGATAGTTGCAAGTTTAACCACCAAAACTCGTAACTCCTGTGATGGGCACGTTCCCCATTCTCATGAAAGTTTGTGGCTGAGAGGGCATTTGTTTATGTTTTTTTATTTTTATTTTTCAAAGAGCTTGTTTATGTTAAAACCATTATTTTAATGCGAAATCAAGCGTATACATAACTGCCCCTTGGTTGAAGGGTACTGGCTGCCGAGAGATTCTTTTTTGGCCTGAGGCTGACGAGAGGTTTGATTCTTGTTTTCTCCTTATCGCATTATGTGAGTAACATATATCCTCAATTACTTATAAACTTCAAATTGTTTTTTCATCATCAATAAAAACATTTATATTTATTTTTAAGAAGGAAACAGCAACGTAACGAGACTGATTAATTTTAATTAACCCCTGCATTAATAGCTTGTCTTTTTGGCGGGGGAGGGGATGCAAAACTCGTTTCCAGAATATCAAAGGACGCGACTTCGTCAGTAGTGATTTTGGCACCGGATGGCTTTGGATTATTTCCGTAACGGAGCAGGCCTGTCGAGATACACGCTTATAGTTGCGGGTTTCTGGACAGGACAGAATTATTAGAGTGAAGAAGCTTGACCCGCTCTGAACCGCGAGTCCAACCGCTTCCCGAGACTCCTTACGCCAAGCTGAAACTGAGCCGCCGCCGCCAGAAACTGCACCGTCTGCGACGGTCTCAGTATTTCTACCACCTTCCTCGACGTCGACACTCGCAGCTCGTCGGCCCTCTCCAATACCTCCCTCATCGCATTCTTCAGCATTTCCAGTGCGGTGTCCAGCTCATCAACTTCCCCATCGATCAGCCTCCCCACTCGCCTCGCCAATTGCAGCATTGACGGTCCTCCTGGGATCTCCTGAACGCTCGCCATTGCTCCCGTCACGACCCTTTCTTGCCTCCTGGTATCGTCCTTCACTCGCTCCAGCATCGCCTTCTGCTCCGGCGATAAACCGTCCACGGCGCCGTCCACCAGATGAAGCACCAGGGAAGGCTTATAGTCCGCAATCCAGAGCAGAGCTCGCTCATAAGAAGTTAACCAGGTCGGGGAAAAGAGGAGGAAGACATCGTCGGCGAGTCGGGATCTCTCTTGAAAGTATTGCTGGTAGTGGAAGAGAACTTGGTCAATGAGGGCACTCTGTTGCTCCATTTTGAGGGGAGAGTCGGGGGCGAGGGAGAGAGTGAGGAGCTGATCGAGGAAGCTCTGTTGGCGCGAAAGCCATCCCTCGAAGAAGCTCTGGAATGAGCTCCGCGCATTCTGCTGCTGTGGCGTTTGTGCCATTGTTTTGGGTCTATGCAGTGTCTCCTCTGCCCGGAGGAACAGGGCGGGTATGGTGTTCTATTTATATGGCTTTTCATTGGAAAAAAGATGTTTCTTAATGTATAAGGATTTGGATTGAAGTGAGGGAGCAGTGGTTTCCTTAGTCGGGATAATAAATTTGAAAAGGCAGCAGGAAGAAGGAAGAGATGTCACAGGTTGTGTGCTGATGCCATGGCGGTGGGAGGGCATTCCCTGTTGTGCCGCGGAAACAGAACATCGAGGCAAGCATGTCATGTGACGTGAGTCAAAGTTCCTTCTATCCCTTTTTTTTTTTTTTAAATAAATTATTATTAAATTATTACTCCCTCCGTTTTTTATTATAAGATACGAATAACCGAATCACGTTGATAAAAAAACAGTTAAAATTAGTTAAGAACAATCAATGTGTAAAAAATATAATTTTTTTTCCAAAAATACCCTCATTAATAAGAAGAGAGAGTATGAGAGGGAACAATTAAATTATTGAAAGGAAGAGAAGTGAGAGGGAGAAAGAGTGTGAGTTGTAGACAATAAATATGGGTAAAATAGGAGATCAACACAAAAAAGTAGAGACAACTTTTAAGTGCTTCTTATATATAGAAACATGTCATAAGTATCAAACGTATCTTATAATAAGAAACGGAGGGAGTATTATTTTTCCCCTTCAAAAACCCATAATTTCACGCTGCTCTTTGCTCTATCCCCGTCTTCTCTTCTTCTGACCGACAAGGGGCAAACCGACATTCAGCGGTTGAGTCCTCTTTGGGCCACCCATCATAGAGTATTCATCTTGGGCCACTGCCTTCTTTTTGGGCCTCTTGCTCTTTGTCACCAGCCCAAACCATTATGCCCTTTGTGGACATGAAGCCTCTTTCTCTGAGATAAAATCCAGACTTGTTCTAGGATTCTTCATGCGTTGCTTATGGGTTGTTATTTTCAAACGCTAACGATAATGATATCCCGACGGAATCAGTTTGCCTTATTTACGGTGACGCATGATTACGTATTCAATTTCCCAGATTAAGTTAAATAAATGGCTGAGCCATTGTGGACATGATTGTAACGTTTGCGGTTAGTTGTTCAATGAGGCTGCGTGGGATATTTCCTTTTTCTTTTTTTGGGTGGGGGAATCGGTGGGATATGTATATATTTTTTATTTAATTAATTAAATCCGCCGTTGTCGAGCCGAAATTGGAAGCATTGATCACATGGTTTTGAGGTGACAAGGACTGAAAAGGGGTGAACGTAAAAGTGGAGATGTGAAGAAACAAAGACGACGGATATTTTAAGGTGATTAATAAATCATACGTACCTTTCACGGAATAGTGGAACCCAATGACTAAAGTGAAGCAGGACAAAATAAGTGATCAAACAAATCAAGACATTATTGACGGCTCTGCTTTTGCTTGAATCGTGTTATTACCCAAAAGGCATATTCGTCCCTGCTCCGCCTCCCCATCGCTACTCATATTATCTTCGCAGTTTGTATTTCTTTAATTTTAAATAATATAATAATCTGTGTTTAGTTATTACTAACAAATAAGCCTTGATGAACGATGCCCCATGCCCCTGGCTTCAGAGCTCGATATTTTAAATCATCCTTTTTGTTTTTTTTTCTCAGCTTGCGTTTGAATGTAACTTTCCTTCTGTGTGATATATCATCAACAAAATAATAACAACAACGACAGCCGGATTATTCAAGAGCTGTCACTCTGTGTGATCACCACGGCACCACCTCACCTACCGCTACCAGCTGCTATGATTTTTTCCCCTTCATTTTTTAATTATATTTTTATTTAAAATGGTGATCAGAACTTTTTTTTTTTTTTTAAACAAGAGTTCTCAAACACTCTGTTACGTTGACTGATTCTCATGCTCGCGTCTGGAACGGGACTATTCGTGAAATATCTTATTCTCACTGTGAAATTAAAAAAATAATTTTCGTCACAAACATAAAAGCTAATTAATTGATTTGAGAAAATTAAAAAAATAATTTAAATTAATTATTTATAATAAATAGATATTGTCTTTCTTACTTCCTCACTAATAGATAGAAACAAATGGAAATAACCAAACCACGTCTACAAAATGCCAGTACCATGCAGCTGCTTCAAAGCCAATGTGATGCTTCTTGGTCAGATAACTAATAATTAGAACTATTATTACTAAAAAAGGCTATATTGAAAAAATATATAAATATAAAAAATAAAATAAATTAAAAAATTAAATATTTAGAATCAAAATAAAAATTAAACAAGACTTTATATATATAAAAAGAGGTGGTAATGCTCAACGTCGCCTTCATTTTAGTTGTTGTGCCAAAATCGAATTTGTCCTCTTGGGGGACAGCTACTCTATACATTCATGCGAAGAAAGATCTCGATATTTTTAAAATACGAGAAACTTGTTGGGTACTTTTGTCACAATCTTAAGTTAACATTATCGGGTAATAGAATCTTCGATGCATGTTACAATGGAGAGAGGACAACTGAAGCTTTTCACAAAATCAAGGTAAGCTTACTATTTTCGTACCACCCAGACTAGATTAACGGCATTGCTTATATTTTAAGTCGATGTGAATCATTTTTTTTTTTAACCTTTTAACATTGTTCTTAGCTTGGGCCGTGGACTACTGAATTTGTGGTGGTTGGGATTACGCGATAATATAACATGTTAAAAATCAATACTTAATATCATCATTACGGCTTAACTCTGGAAGGGAGTCTATGTAGCATATAACTCTGCCAAATACTCTTCGGTCCTAATTATAAGACCCAATTGACTTATTTGAGGAGATAAGGAAGTAAGTTAAGTTGGTTATTTATAATAAATAAGTATTGTTATTCCTAAAATATTCTTGCTAATTAAGTATATTGGCTAAAACTATCATTATTAGAAGGATTATCTTGGAAAAAAATGATAAAAAAAAATGGGTCTTATAATTAGGATCAAATAAAAAGTCAAATTGGGTCTTATAATAAGGACCGGAAGATATAATCTGGGAAAATGATTAAAAAATTCACTACAAATTTGAGCATTAAAGTTTTTAAATGATTATGACTTTTTCTCCAGCCGTATGTAACACATCTTCATCCATATATAAATATATTCCATTTCATACATAATTAAAAACAATTTACATGTCGCTAAAAAATTAATGCACTGGATGAAAGATATGTTGTATCTGGACCTTCATACAAATTTTGGTTCGCTCAGACAACTAGGGATTTTATCAGTAGCTTCTCATATAAATGTTGTTTCGAAAAATAATAATAGTGGTGAGCTCAACTAAAATAATAGTAATAATAATAAATAAAAAAAGGACAGAGAGAATTCAACGACAACCATATTTAGAATTTAGTGGGGTATCGTTGCTGCCTGTTGGATAAGCTTTCAGGAGCCACTCAGCAATTCTTCCCCGCGCGTCCTCGTGATATTTTTGACGAAGAGAAATAATTCAAATCCAATTCATTGTCGTTTTACACATAAACGCCAATTCGCACGCGCCGTGTGGTAAATGTGGCATATCAATTTCTCATCATGACTCGCCTTGGCAAATTCTGGGAGTTCCGTCCATCCGTTCCGCAGCCCTCCCAAAAAAGCGAGGGGAAGTAATAACCAACAAAAACAGCTAAGAGATTTTGGTCATTTTACCGCTTTTTTTCTTTTTGCCTTTGTGGCCGAATCTTTTTTTCTGTCATTCCAAAACAGTGATGCCTTAATTCTTCTGCCTGAATCAATTCGAAGATGGATCGGTAAATCCATTCAACCAAGATGGATCTGTAAATACCTGCCGGGACGAAGTTAGATTCCAGCCACTGTGAATAACGCTCTTCTCAAGTATACAGTCTTCCTTCGTTTTTTCTTCTTCTCGTCCATGCTCTGATATTCAGATCAGCGAGGCTCTGTGAAGCCGCCGCCTTTCTCTCTCTTTCTTCCTGTTATTTCATACCCCCTCGCGGAATCGGTCTCGGCCAACGTGGCACTAGATAGCGGAGAGGGAGGCTAGCTGAGATTACAGTGCCAGACTGTGGGATGCCGAATCCCCAATCTCAACGTCAACGGTCACGAGCTGCATCATCATCGGCGCGGCCTCCGGCTGGGGCCAGGGTTCCGCTCAGGCAATTGTTTCGGGTGGCATCGGTGGCTGGGGGCATTCAGTTTGGGTGGGCCCTGCAGCTTTCTCTCCTGACGCCTTATGTGCAGCAGCTTGGAATTCCTCACGCGTGGGCTAGCATAATTTGGCTATGTGGCCCTCTTTCTGGTCTTTTTGTTCAGCCCTTGGTGGGGCACATGAGTGACAAGTGCACCAGCCGGTTCGGCCGCCGGAGACCCTTTATCTTTGCCGGAACAGTGTCCATCATTATTTCTGTTCTGGTCATTGGTCACTCTGCTGACATTGGCTGGTGGTTTGGTGACACGGAGAATTCTCGGCCGAGAGCAATAGTGGTATTTGTGTTCGGGTTTTGGATTTTGGATGTGGCCAACAACATGACTCAAGGTCCTTGTAGAGCTTTGCTTGCCGATCTTACTGGTAAGATCTTCTTGGACTTTGCCTTCAAATAATTGAACATGTGATTGTTCCGAGGCAATGAAAGCCTTAACTAAACCCTCCCTTGGAAAACTCTTCCAGTTTTAAAGTAGTAACGTTATAACTTCCAAATGCCGAAGCATTACTTTAGCAATTCCTTTTCTGAAAACCAGATATATCAGTATTCTGCCGCTAGATGCTTGACTGCACAATAATGCAATTTGTGTCAGCAACTAAAGAAGTTCAATAAAGATCAAACTCCTTTTGATATTTGTTATTATCTGGCTTCCCTATCAATGCTTGACACCATAAGTTGACTTGAATGGTTACTGATGTATCTAAAGTAACAGTCGAACAGAAGTATTATCAGATCAATGATCTAACAAGAATAGTTGTTTTTGTTCTAAATAATCTATTAAATATTGTAAATCTCACAATTTGAATGAATTTACTCAGACAATGATGTAGGAAATCAAACTTTGGTGCTCGATTTGAATATTGTGTGCTTTTGGTAAGTGGTATACATATCAATAACTTGATAATTTGTTAATGATAGGTACAGCGAACATGCAAACATGCCACCAAACATGCCACCAAATTATTTAAGAATCAATAATTAGCTTTAGAACAGGCTCTCTAGGTGCCGAAATTCAATTTTGGGGATCGCTCTTTCTTTTTAAAAAATTACTTTTCAGAAATTTTAAATGATTGTTTAAGATTTTAAAAATAATTAGGATAAAAAATTAGATTTTTTATTATTTCAAGAAGCTATTCTAAGTACCTTTTAATTATTTTAAGGAGTAATTTGTTGTAAAAAAATACTTTGTGATTTTTTTAATTATTAACAAACACAAAGTAACTTTTTCTTTTCGTAAAATTTCTAAACAAAAAATCATTTTTTTGGCCGGTAACAATATGGAAATAAAATATAAGTTCTAACAAAAAAGCTTACCAGATTAATGTAATCATTAATTTAGGGGCAATAACTTTTTCCTGGCAACATTCTTTTAGTAGTGGCATCTAACGTAAAAAAGTGGTTCCATTTTTATTCTGTGCCTTTGTGTGATTCATGCAAACTAGTAAAAGCGTTGTTTCTGGTTTAGAACACAAATAAATATTTGCGCAAAACATTCGAAACTATGTTAATATGGTACTTTGGTTATTGTAAGTTGTTACATACGCGCAAATGCGATCGTAAGAGTAATCTTCAAATCATGGGAAGCCTCTGTGAAGTGAAAATTTTCACTCATATCATCCCTGTCATAATTTTTGACCAGACATGGGTCTTGTATGCTTCAATTATTCTTTCTGTTACTTAGGGATAGAAATTGGTCATTCTGGAGGAAAAAAGAGAGGGAGAGGGGGGAAACCAATGAAAACCCAAATGGCAAGCCACCATGAGATTATTGTTTTTATGTCAATTGCAATTCATTGAGAAATGAAAGTGATCACTCGAGTGAAGAAACAATACTTTGACATCCTTCTTCCTCCTTTTCTTGATGTTTTCTTCTATATAATGTTAGGCAAGGATCATCGAAGGACACGAGTGGCAAATGCCTATTTCTCTCTGTTTATGGCTATTGGTAACATTCTTGGCTACGCAACTGGGTCGTTCAGTGGTTGGTACAGGGTTTTTTCTTTCACTGTTACCCCTGCATGTAAAATTAGTTGTGCAAATCTCAAGTCTGCTTTCTTTCTCGATGTTGTTTTCATTGTGATCACCACATATATCAGCATTGCAGCAGCTCATGAAGCGCCTCTTAGTTTGAATGGGGCTGCCCATACTGAAGAAGGGGCAGGAGAGTCGGGTACTGCAGAAGAAGCGTTCCTGTGGGAGCTATTTGGGACATTCAAATATTTTTCAGCTCCTATATGGATAATACTGTCTGTTACTGCACTGACTTGGATTGGATGGTTTCCATTTATTCTGTTCGATACTGATTGGGTGGGTCGAGAGATTTATGGTGGTGATCCAAATCAAGGTCTTACTTATGATGCAGGAGTTAGAATGGGGGCACTTGGTTTATTGCTGAACTCGGTTGTTCTTGCTATAACGTCATTACTCATGGAATGGCTAAGCAGGAAGCGGGGGGCTGGCTTTTTGTGGGGAATCTCAAACATCGTAATGGCTGTCTGCTTTATCGCAATTCTTGTAGTAACCTATGTGGCAAACAGCATTGGCTATCTTGGCAAAGATGAACCGCCAGTTGGCATTTTAATAGCGGCAATAACAATTTTTACCATTCTTGGGTTTCCATTGGCGGTAAGTTGCTCAAATCTGCTTCTCTGTGGTCAACACCTCCTATTGGTTCTCTGAACCCTCAGATTAGGGGGGAAAAGGTCCTATTGCGCTCTCTTACACACAATTATGTCAGTTCTACCATGATGTGCTAGAAATGCAAGTTTGGAATTGCCCCATAAAGAGGGCACAAATTCGATATTATGTGCGCGTTACGCATGATTTAAACTGACTTATCGATAATGATTATTTCAGGTCACTTACAGTGTCCCATACGCCTTAATCTCAGCACATATTGAGTCTTTAGGACTTGGCCAAGGTGAGCTTCTAGTTATGGTCTTCTTCTGTTCATTTCTTTTGGAGATTTGACTGCAGAACTGTTTATGTTGATTGTCGCTAATTACAGGATTATCGATGGGAGTTCTGAATCTGGCAATTGTGATCCCTCAGGTTTCATTGCTTTAAGATATTATATCCTTTTAGTTGAATGGGAAGTTCTCTCTGGAGTTTTTCTCAGGGGCTGTTGAATTGACAATAAAGCTTGATGAAATTGATTTTTACTTTTAGTATATGCCAATTTGAGGCTAATCAACTGCCTTAATAATTGAACCTAATTTTCTTGGATTAAGCTTCACTCAAGAAAGTATATAATTTGAATAATTAAATAATTGAGGCCTTGATGCATGCCTTCTTAGACCACGGAAAAGAGGCTAAAGTCCTCAGCAAAAGATTATATACGGATAGAGCTTAACAGACAAACTCCTCTAAACAATTGACGCTGTCGGATAAGCATCAAATGCAGGCCATCAACTGATTCCAATCTCCGAAAATGCTTAAAGAGCTAGATAGATTATATATCGAAATCCTCCTCGGCAAAATAATATTCATTTTATGTTAAAATGGATCGAGAATAATCTCAATAATTCCAGTCCTTTGTTTTTAAACTCAAATTCTAAAAGTAACACTTGATAGTTCCCTTTTGATTTATACGTTGTTAATATTGAAATAGGATTGTCATTTTGGATGTGAAAACCAATTCGTCTGCCGAAGAACATAATTGAATTAAGACCCTCAACTTTGAAACTAGCTATTACAGGAAGCAGAGGATATCATATCTAGTTGTACACAGATTACATGAAAATCTAGTTGCATTGACAAACAACTGATTGCCAGAAGAGTTCAATTGAGACATCATATCTAGTTTATAAAAATAATTATGCAGACAAGTTCTTCCCCGGTCTAAGCCATTGAATCTTTTTTGTGGTTTGAATTTAATGATGACTTGTCTTTTGTAAATATGTAAACCGTGAGAAAGGACCTATTTTAAGTACAGTTTCTATTTTTGGAGCTACTTGACTTATACATTTATGATTTTTGAAACAGATAGTGGTGTCTCTGGGAAGTGGACCATGGGATCAGCTATTTGGTGGTGGAAACTCTCCAGCATTTGCTGTGGCAGCTATTGCAGCCCTTATCAGTGGACTCATTGCTGTCTTGGCTATTCCTCGATCTGGTGGTGGTTCTCATAAGCCTAGATCCCACGTTTGAGGTGCTGTGTTCTTTCTGGCTATGGCACTGGTTTCTTTTGAAGAGGGATGGTGGTAAATCATGGGGTAGCAAGAATTTGTATATAGCTATTTTTGCTCCTATCTGATTTTAGCCTTTTTCTCGAGCTTCCTTTCATGAGAACCCTCTTCACCCAATCTGTTTCTAATAGACAATTGTATCCTTTGGTTGTGCTTTCGTCTTATTGGTCATTATTTAGCCATTGAGCCATATTTTTGCCGTTCTATAGTTTTCATAGGCCTTTGATTTCTTGGGAACTCGCTCTCTATTTGGGGATCCTGATGACTTTAACAGTATCCGCAAAACAGTCAGAATGGTTGTAGTATGTAAACCATGACAAATTCTCTGTCTAGTGCACGAAAGGTGAATGCTCTTCAATCTTCATGTCCAAGGATTAAAATAAATCGTGTAGCGGTTCTTTTAGGTATCCTAGCCCCTAGCATGTAACATTAAAAGTTATCACAAAATACTAAACAGGAGATTATCTGCAATCAGTGGAGAATTTCTTCATTGCAAGTCCGTCCCACCTGTATAAGTTGTTGCTTCTATGGCCAAAATGCTGTAGCAAATTTGTTGGGGTTGGAGCATCTTTGGAAGGTGCTAAAGCTTCCGTCAGGCAGCATACTTTCCAACCGAGATGAGTTACTGTTGATTGGGAAATATTCCGCATGAAGTGTTCATTGTGCGATGGTGATTCAATTGATGATGTATTGGAATCTTATGCATGCGTGTGATTTTTTTGTCTGTGTGAAGAATGTGCTTAGTGGCCAGCAGTGAATATGTGAATTGTGCTGATTGAAACCGTGGTGGAGACTCTGCTTCAATGCTCCATTTTTTGGCACTTCCTAAAGCAAAATTCTTGGTTGAGGGGTTTTCTTATCGTCAATTGTCAATAAATGCTTTCGAATTATGCAATAAATTATCGTGTTTTATTTTTATGCACATACTATCTGTGAAAGTGTCTACTGCTTTCCCGTACAAAGCCTGTTACCAAATTCCAAGGCAGCCAAGAGCATTTAAGAATATCAACTTTGGGTTGATTATTAATTATTATCACTATAAAACATATTGTATATTGCAAGTCAGATAATTGATATTCATAGTTCATGAATAACTATGCGTAGATTTTATATAAGCTTACAGAGAGAAATGTGTCTAATTTGTTCGAATAAAGGTAAAAGGAAGGAACAGAAGAAAAATCCCATCATTCAGTAAGGTGGCAACCCCTTAAAGTTCATTGTGGATTATTGTTAATATTAAACTACCAGACCATAATTTTCGTTTCGTATTTGATTTTGATGGAATATATGCATGGCAAGGAACAGTTGGGCACAAGGGCAGACGCGTTATTTAACGTCAGAACGATTTGGTGCAGCGTCTTGTTCACATAACATAAATACTAGCGAATCCCAGGTGATTAATTCAGGTAGTAAAATTGGAATTTGGAAGATGATAATCGCACAGGTGTCACACCGGTCACTCCGCGTAACCAGAGAGGTTCGAGAGAAGAGAAGAGAGGAATGTGTGTGGTGAATGGCCCAGCGAGGCAACGACGAGTTCCGGCAAAAGCATCCACCTTTGAATGGCGGTGGGAAAAGTTGAGAGTTTTAGACGGATACAACTAGGGAATCTGATCACACTTCTAGAGGAGCATAATCTTTTGCCCATATCAAGTTAATTCTAACGCGTCTTGTCACTCTTTTCCAGAAATTTGCATTTTAGGTATGTTATGTCCCAAAACACAAACAACTGTGACTGATCCCCCACTAATACCAACTTGGCTTAAGATAGATGTCTTCCTGATTGATGACGCTACATTTGCACGCCATTATCGCAACCTTCCTCGTTTCACTCCCTCCCCTTTGGTTTAACTCAGCAGACGCACCTGCCAATTTGGATGCCAGCTTCAATATTCCCATGCATCCCTTTTCACGGAAAAACGACCTTTTTTTAAAAAAAAAAAAATTGTCCATAATCAGTACTCACTGTGCTTATTGCTTTCTTCCATAATAAATTTACCAAGCATTTGGTTCTGTTTCATGATACATATCTTTCAGCAACAGCAAGGGAGGGAATCTGAGAAGGAAGATGGGTTTGTATTCAATGTAGCAGAATAAAAGCTAGCGCTTAAAGGCTAATGAGAATGTGGAAGACAAGTTTTGATGTTATGGGGCGAGTGATGAGAGAAGAATGGTGGTAGGAGGGGAAGATGCTTGTGGCTTGTTGGCTTCCCTCAACCTCAAGAGACAAAGCCACTGCCTGATGATGCTGTGGCCTGCACAGGGCCATCTTGCCACCATAGAGATATACATTAAATGGCTCTCATTGAAGCACGCAACTTCTCTCTCCCCATTGTCTCCCCTTTTCCTTCTGTCTCTTTTCCATATGGCCATCTACCTCCTTCCCTCTTCAACCCTCCTTGTGGGGTCCCACATCCATCCACACATGACACTAACACTTCCTCACCTCCATATAAAATATAGACGTATATATCCATCAGGATAACAGAACCTGCAACAATCTATTTGACCTTTTTCCCCTGCTAGAAATTGAACTTTTTGAGGTGATTTTATCTCGAAAGTGATATGAGAGAGATGAGTTGTACTCAGTAGGACACACATCATGGGTTATTTATGGCCTAATGGGCATTACCACTGATATAATATAAACGAGTTAGTACTGAGTTTGGAGTGAATGACGAGAGTGGTAAAAGGCAAAGAAGTGGACAAAACTTGGGAGTTTGGGTGGTTCAGGTTCAGATGAGATGGACCTAGACAGACAGTGAAGAGTTATGTTGGGACAAGAGAGCGGACTGGGGAAGAACGGAACATGCATGGCTGCCTTAAAACATGCAAAAACATTTCCCTCATGCCCTCAAAATTAGCAACCAAATACTGTGCATCAAACAGTCCTTCATTTATATGCATTGCGTTTTTTAATATTCGTACAAATATACCCAACCGCATTACTAGTACGCATGCTTCCTGTCTTTTTACGGATCAGGTGTCCCACCAGAGGAAAAACGAAGGAAACAGAAAATACTGTATGGGAATTGGCTTCTCCTTCGATTATTCCACTGCCTTTCCCTGCTTCAGGATAAAATTCTTTATGTTCCTCGCACAGAAATATCTCAGCCAAACACGGCGTTTCAGAGAAGACTAACCACTTCCATTGGTTAAATTAAGACCACTATTAGCGCCGTCATTAAGAAAACATACTAATCCTTTGTTGCTTTGACGGCTGTTAATTATAACCCGTTTCAAGCGAACACATTCATTGCTTTTTCTGCAGTTTTAATTCACCGTCCCTTGGGATAATGTTTCCTCTCTGCACTCGATTTCCGCAGTAGCATAATTTTTCACTTTTTGGTGCATTTGAGTCAGTTAGCGACACGTGCTCTTCCAAGGGCCCCAGGCTTCATGCATATAAACCAGTCCCTCCCATCTTCTCCTTCCCACATACAAGAGACCCTCTTCCCCTTACAATCCTCTGACAAACACAAAGGGCACGATCCCCAGTCCCTACGACTTCTTAGTTACCTCGTCATGTGTAATCCCAAGTCATCTCTTTCAGCATCCCCATTTCTGTGTCCCACAAAGACCCATCCCGCAGCCCCCCAGAAACCCATGGATCCTCCCTCTGCAGATCATGATGATGATCTTAGCAGATGGCCAACTCCGAAAGAGGTATCCTTAGGAATATTACTTTTGTAATTGTAATTTTACTGAACTAGTTACTTTATAACCACTCACGTGAAAATAAAAAGTTACTCTGTGTTCGGTTTATATTATGACATACCCATTAATGTTATTGTCTTCTTTTTTACCGCGTTCAGGTCGTATCAGAAATCAAAGACATAAGCAGGATATCAGGCCCAACCGCCATCACCGGTTTACTCCTGTACTCGAGAGCTATGATCTCCATGCTCTTCCTTGGCCATCTCGGCGAGATGGAACTCGCAGGAGGCTCCCTTTCCATCGGCTTCGCCAACATCACCGGTTACTCTGTCATCTCCGGTTTAGCCATGGGGATGGAACCTATCTGCGGCCAAGCTTACGGAGCCAAACAATGGAAGCTTCTGGGCTTAACACTACAAAGAACAATCCTCCTTCTTCTCTCCACTTCCATCCCCATCTCCTTCATGTGGCTCAACATGAAGACCATCCTCAATTGGTGCGGTCAAGATCAGGACATATCATCGATGGCTCAAACCTTCATTCTTTTTTCCATACCAGACCTCTTCTTCCTCTCACTTCTTCACCCTCTTCGAATCTACCTCAGGACTCAAGGCATCACATTGCCATTAACATATTGCACTGCAGTCTCTGTTCTCTTACATGTTCCTCTTAATTTTCTTTTGGTGGTTCACTTCAAGCTGGGTATAGAAGGGGTGGCTATAGCAATGGTTTTGACCAATCTCAACCTGTTCCTCTTCGTTTCTTCCTTTGTTTACTTCTCCGGTGTGTACAAAGATTCTTGGGTTTCCCCCAGCACGGACTGTCTCAAGGGATGGGCGTCTCTGCTTTCACTGGCGATTCCAACATGCGTTTCTGTTTGCTTGGAGTGGTGGTGGTACGAATTGATGATAATGCTGTGCGGGCTTCTGGTGAATCCGAAAGCGACCATTGCTTCCATGGGAATCCTCATCCAAACTACCTCTTTGGTCTACGTCTTCCCTTCATCTCTGAGCCTCGGTGTCTCCACGAGGGTGGGTAACGAACTGGGCGCGAATCGGCCGGCAAAAGCCCGCATTTCCATGATTGTGTCTATGTTCTGCGCAGTGGGCCTAGGCCTGGCGGCCATGCTTTTCACGACCCTAATGAGGCATCAATGGGGTCGATTCTTCACCGCCGACGAGGAGATTCTGAAGCTTACTGCCATAGCATTGCCGATTGCCGGAATGTGCGAGCTCGGAAACTGCCCGCAGACGACGGGGTGCGGGGTCCTGAGAGGAAGCGCAAGGCCCACCATCGGAGCTAACATCAACCTGGGTTCCTTCTACCTTGTGGGCATGCCGGTGGCCATGCTTCTGGGGTTTGTGCTCAAAATGGGGTTTGCAGGGCTGTGGCTGGGGTTGCTTGCAGCCCAAGCCTCCTGCGCTGCACTTATGATGTTCGTCCTCGTAAGAACAGACTGGAAGGAGCAAGTTCGAAGAGCAAGAGACCTCACTGCAGCCCCATCTTCTGCTTCTGATCACTCTGCAATTCCCACATTGGCAAAAACTGAGACTAACCACGACTCATGTTATCTTCAAGAGATAGTGATCAGTGACGATGAGCGGACCAAGCCGACGTCGCTTGAGACAGACCCGTTAATATTGAGCACAGTGTGAATTGAAGTGATCGGAGTTGTTGGTTTTAGCACCATTTTTTCATCCTTCCAATCGGGAGGAGTCGAAGGCAGAGTCCCCAGTTCTATTGGACTGTACTGTACAATAATTTTCCGCCCCACTTTTGCCGCCTTGATTATCCCTTGTCCGATAATAATAGTATTTGAGGAGGAAAAAAAAACCAGACTGATCTTTTAATTACTTCGTGCTAAAGGCATTGTGATGGGAAAACAGACCTGAGGCCCGGGATGAGATTTGGGCGGTCGAAGCTTTTTTATTAAGATTTTAATGATTTCTTATTTTAACTAAACCACGATACGAAATAACAACAACAATATGAGATTTTAGATTATTCATATTTAATATTTTATAAATTCATTATTGAAATAGTAAGTTGTAATAAATCTAAATTATTAAAATGTTATTAATCAGACCAGTGAGACTTGTAGTAGGAAATCAGATGCTAAAAAAGAATATCACTTTGTGAAGTATTAAATATAAAGTGAGAAAGCTTCCTTCATGCCATAGCGTGGCTGTGGGGATGGATGGAAAGAAAAAACATAAAGAATAAGAAGGAAAAGAGAGGAGATGGGGCTGTAAGCTGTCGGTTGTTTGTGAGGCGCAGGAAATTAGTGTTGCTGCCTTCCATAAAAGGTAAAGCTTGAACAGCCATAAATGGACCATAATCAAAGCAGCGCCTAACTCTTGCTTTGTTAGCCTTTTATTATTATTGTTTTAATATGTAGTGATGTGGAAAAGCATCTTGTTCTCATGTATGCTCCCTCTGAATTTATGTATAAGTAACATCTCCCAAGGTTATTGAGATCAAAATATTTGCTAAAATTAATCAAAAGCATTAAATATGTAAGATTTTTTTTTTAAAGACACCATAATTTACAAAAATAATGAAGGAGATGGACAGATAATGAGTGAAAAAACTGAATAAAAGCGACGTATAATTAATTGGAGTAAAAAAGTTATTTTTTTAAAGTACATTAGATTAGATTTCAGACAAATACAAAATTTTGCTTTTATATATATATAAGACTAATTTTATAATGCAAGGGGAGGTTGCTTATATATAGGATTGGGAGAAGTATACGTCTCCTCCTACCTCAAATAAAACAAAAGAAATGACAGAGAATTAAAGGGCAAAGGACAAAATCTATGATCCTGACCTCTCCAATCATAGTATAATTAGTGAAAGTTACCCCTCATGATTGGTCTTGATCTCTTTCTAACCCGTGTTTCCACAAAAAAAAAAAAAAAGATCTCTTAATCCTCCGCCTCCATTCTCTCTATCTCCATGTTCCATCATCCAATTTCTTCCCACACAATCACTTTAATCACCAGCTGAAATGGGTTGCAGGGGTCTCCTTTTTCCCTACCGTACCGTCTGCGTTATAAGCAAAAGACAGAGCTTGAAGAGGGGGAGATACAGATTAATGTCATTTTGTTCTTTTAGAGAGAGAGAGAGAGAGAGAGAGAGAGTAATAAGAGGATGTGGTGGCAGTGAAAAATGTGAAGAAGAGGAGGGGCCTGCTTGAAACTGCAGAAACAAAATCCAGCTGTTCTTGTTTCTGTCGACTTCTCACACGACAAAATTCGGAGCACTGCCACTTCCCCACCACTGAACCCAACCGTGAGATGTTTACAAGATCCATCGTGAGCAGCCATTAATTAGCCTCTTTAACTTGTGTTCCTCAGTGTCTTTCCTTTAAGACGGTTCATTCTGTACTAATACAGTTTAAAGAGGTCGCATATATATATATATATGTATGTATATGCTTTCATGTGTGCATGGGATGGCAGCGAGATACAGGAGGGGCCATCTTCTGGATTTGCAGGTTTTGAGTGGTACACCTAAGAATAAGGCTAATTAAGCTTTTGTCGTCTTGTGCTGCTTTTGAATCTCCTCTCTTCGATTCAAGCTCACCTTATCTCCTTTTTCTCTGGGGGGCTGATAATATCTGCATCCAGCTGCTATATCCTAGTATTGCTCCATACTCATTGAACAGCGCTTGTGGAGAAGAATTAATTGTGTGTGTGATCATGGGTGCTACAGCGTCACCATTTCCTTCATTTTGTTGTGGGAATCTACGTTTCATTCATATTCTAAGTTTCCAACACACATTCATTATTTGGCAGCACTACTCTGTCCTCTTCCTCCTTTCACTTTTCTTTCCCCCTCTTTCCTCTCTTCTTTAACGTATCTCCACGGATCATGTTAGCCAAAAAAGTGATATTGTTTCCTGTCCATAATAACGTTACTTTCAATCCCTAGTATTGAATTCAATATCATATATAGATATATTTTATAAAATTATTTCGTATTTTAGACAATGTCAGGTATTAAATATGAGTATGTCTTTCAATAGAAATTTAAACTTTAATTTGCAATAGGTTGTGAAGGCTTCTTATACAACTTTAACAAGTGGACATAGTTATGTTGACAAAAATAAAGAATTAAAAATAGCTATGGCTGATGCTGATGATTATGGACAGCCGGGCCTTAGGAATCATACCGTTTGACTTCTTGTTAGCATGTGACACTTACTATAGAGGTGTAATCGATCAGTTATTCATTGTATACATCAAATGTATGAATTTTTTTCCCAATCATGACATAGAATTTGATAATAATAATTCATATATGAGTTTTTTAATATACTGTTTTTTAAACGATTTCGATTGAAAATTAAATAAAAGGGATCACATGGTTTTTTTGTTCTTATACATCTGTGATACATTTAGCACAAAATACCTATAATATTTTTCATTAAAAAATTAGTTCTCAAAATTATGACCTACTTTGGTTAAAATCTTTAGAAATACGGCATCACTGCTTATGAGATAATAACCAATACTGTTTGATAACCGTATTCATTAAAATCTTTAGAATTTTGACTAAAGCTAATACCCTGCCAATTCATTATATCTGTCGTTTTAAATTATTCTATACAGATTAAGAAATATGAAAAATATGATATGTTTTTCTAAATTCGCCTTTTATTTATTCCAGGCAATACTTTAATAGTTGGGATATTTCTGTATTTGGATAGATGCTTTGGCACTAATGGATAACCGCAAAGCTTGTCCCCTCCATCCTCTAGCACACCAGATTGCCATGCATCTCCTGCAATATAAAGTTTTTTCACGCTGGATGACACTGGCTATTTTTTTATTGAAAAAAATAAAAAAATAAAAACATTATAAAACGTGTGTCTCTGTGTGTGGACATATAATTATATACACACAAAGACCGTGTGAGATGTGTTATGTCACTATGATGCTTAATGCAGGTCACTTGTAACACAATTTCACATATTAAGAAATGTATTAAATTGACTAAAATTTTGTAATTGTATCTCTTTTTTTGTGAATATGCAAATTTTATCTCATGTCAAAATTATTTTTTATATATATTTATAAAGTATTCTCATATCTCTCCGTTCTTTCTCTCTTTACAATAATTAAGCATTAAATAAAAATAAATTGAAAAATGAAAATTAAATATACAAGTGCTTTATGTTTAATTTATGATCGGATTGAAGTTCTCCTCGGAGCTGACTTGCATTTACGATGGGTCAGAGTGGCATATGTGGAACAGGAGCTGCTCCAATTGTCTGTAACCATCAAGCTCATAATTCATCGTGCCGTTCTTATTCAACGCAGGGGCCAATATCTTCATGCCACGTGTTTTCCCTTTTGGGGGACTCTTCTCCGAGCCGTTTCATAGAATTAGTTTAGATACCGATTGCTGTTATAAAATCTATACCATTTAAATACAAATTTAATAGTTTAAATTTAAAATTTTTAACTAATAGTTTTTAAATAAAAAATATTTTTTAAAAAATTTATGATTAAGAAATTATATATATTTTGGATTATGTACCATTTAAAGAAAAATATTTTTCAAAAAATTTAAAAATTTAAATCTTAACTGTTCATATTAAATTTGAAAATTTAATGAGTATCATAATACTTATTATTGTGATGAGAATCGAAACTAGTTTTTCTATTGCACTCCAACACCAACGGTTGCCCGCACGACACTTGACTCCCACTCTCGCTTTTTTCCCAATTACGTGCTTTCATGAATAAAAAATTTCCTATTTTGAAATCCAAATATGAGTTTGATATATTGCTTCAAAAGATAGCAAGAACACGACGAATGGAATCATCACTATATCATAATACATCAACATTTATAACACTTTCAATTTTACCACTCATCGTGACGTCTTTTAAGACATTAGAATTATCTACCAGGTTAACGTGAATGCACATGGAATTTGTTCTTTTGTTATAGAGTTAATTTATTTGGAGACATGTGTCTTTAATTTCAGACATATTTTATAGGCTTGGTAACTTTCAGAAAGTGCAAATTAATGCTGGAAGAGTCATCCGGGTTTGGACTTTTATAATGCATTGTTGAAAGAGCTGGCCGGAGAATATAATTGGCTTAATCTGGCAATCAGGAACATATGCCTCGTTCCTTCTTAATTTATGTCTCGTCACTCACCAAACCCATCTCCTGAGTAACAGCACCGACGCCATTTCCATTTCAGGCTTGGTGCCCTGTCCAAAAGGCAAAAGCTTCCTCCTCAACCCCTATATTTTAAGCCTGTTATGCCTTGTCTTTCCCTCTATCTCTCTCTAAAATATGCTTATGGGAAGTAGAATTATACAAAAGGCCTCCGTTTTTAAATCCCCCCCCCCCCTCTTTTCGGGTCCCCCGAAGGTGTTCGTAACAATGTCTCGCTGAAATGACCCCCACCCTCGGCCTTCATTTTGCAGTCTTCGTTTTATGGTCTAAGATTCTGCCTGTGCGTGGCAAAGCGCATAACATAATATAATTGCACATTTTCGTACACATACAACTCAGAGATTGCCGCCCCCGTGTTTTCTCCTTCAGTTTCATTGCATTCTTATTGTCTTCCATTATTGGGATCTTTCCTCCCCGCGAGGTGTCTATGTGCAACTTCTAGGTACGATATTCTCGGCGCCAACAAGAGGTGGCCATTATTATAGGTATTTTAACCAAGTTTCACTCTTTCACGTGAAGCTACCAAGGTTTCAATTATTTGTGATTTTACTACCAGTTGACACAGAGGTGTTATGGTCAAGTACGGTCCAATTCATTATTCAACTTTCAGTGAAGAGAGATGCCAATCGTGT